AATAAAGAACAAACTTAAAGTACCATAAACAAGAATAAAAGAGGAGACATGACAAATAAAGTAAATTTAAAGAAAAATGTACATAAGATGAGAAAATGTCTAAAATCAGAGAGGTCATCAAGGCTGAACCATCAGTACACACAAAATCTGAACAGACCTGAAAGTAAAGTTTCAATTTGTTATTAAAAATATCTTTGTGCTAAGAAAAACCCAGGCACAGATGGCTTGTTTGATGCATTCCATCAAATGTCTGGTGAAAAATGTCTTCCAATTATTTCATACTTCTAAAAACAAAAAAGGAGAGAAAAGATCCCATTTCATTCTAAGCGGCTAGTATTATCCTGATACAAAAATGCAAAAATCCGGTAAGAGCAAGTGTGGAGGACCACCTGGAGGATACTCCCTGAAAGAAGAGCAGTGTTTGGCTAAACCTGGCCCTATTTCTATGTATTGATATATAGAGAGCTGGCTAGGACTTTTCCTTGTTCCTTTACTGGGCTTTCAGCAGTGCAAAACAGTTGAGCTGAAGTGCTGACGGGCAGACTCTGAAGCAAGGCAACGGGTCAGTGTTCCCATGGTCCCTTAGCTCGCGAAAAATATGGGTCAGTTGGTTGGGATGGAGAGACATGCTCCCCTTTGTGAGCTGGGATTGAGCCTTGAGATAGAGGCTACAATTTCCCAGGGCATAAAAGATTACACAGCAGAGCTGAAGCACTGACCCCAAAACACTGGATGCTACCTTGATTGTTATGTAGATTACTCTTTCTTTATATCCTTTATTCTGTGTATTGCAGAAGTGATTTCAGGACTCCTACCTAGCTCAGCTCCCAGAACGCATGTCCTTCCTAACATGGTGAGCCACTTATTCTCCAGCCACTCCCTAATGAATTAATAAAACCCATGTTCAGCCCTGGGTCAAGGCCTTTGCTCTGCTTTGCCATCACAGCTGGACTTAGGACCCTTTTGGCTCCCCATAACTACAAATATGCCTCAGTGTCTTTATTCTCGCCATGGGTTGCATTGGAAGTGGTAGATTGGAATGAACTTGCTAGAGTTCCACTAACTTTTCCATGGGATTATAAACACAAACTTCTCTGACTGTGACAAGGATCAGGAAGGGCTCTCTATAAGCATGAAAACCTTTGTGTTTATATAGACATAAAAGTCTACAACAAAACGTTAGCTAACCAAATCTAATACATCATACTGAGGTGGAAGGAATACACGATTGTGTCCACATATGAAAATTAATCAGAACAATATACCACATTAATACATGAAAAGATAAAGTCCAATGCCATTTTACTATAATATTGAAATTACTAGGACAGGTGTAACATCACAATGAAGTAGGAAAAAAAAAGGTATCATTAACAGAATAAAAGAATAAATTTTATAATCTACCCATTAGATGCAGGAAAAAGGATGCGAGGAAGTTCAAATCTATTATTATTAAAGATCACAGCAAATATAGAATAAAAAGAAACTTTCTTAATCTGATGAAAAATATTTTAGAAAACCTACTACTAATGTCATTCACAATGTTAAGACAGTAAATATTTTTCCACTCAGAAAAAGATGAATATAAGAAAGACGTGTGAGATATCTAAACTGAAAACTATAAAATGTAACAGAGCAATTAAAGAAGGAGTAAATATGTAGCAGAATATTTATGTGCACATAAATATATGCACAGGGATTGTAAGCCATAGGGGTGTTAAGACTAGTTCCCCACTGATCTGTAGATTTAATGCATTTTTTTGTTTTTAAGTTTAGAACAGGGTCTACAGGGTGTTCAGGGTGTTACTACCAGATCGGACTCATAGTGATTCTCCTGTTTTCAGCCTCCCAAGCACTGGGATTATAGGTGTGTGCCACCATCCCCAGTCTCGATCGCCATCTCAGCATGCTCAGCATGCCCGAAGGGCAGGGCTGGTGCAACGTGCTGGGGATTGAACCCAGCTGGCTGTGATCTGCTTAAGCAGGCACTTTAGTCCAATGAGCTATCGGGCTGGCCCTAATGCAATTTTTTTTTTTTCGGAATTTAGGATTGAACTCTCTAAAGCAATTTTTTTTAAACCAACAGCAAACTTTGTTCTAGAGATTGGCAACCTAATTTAGACTTTGTATGAAAATGAAAAAGCCTCAGAGCAATCTGGAGAAGTTTGAAGAACACAGATGAAGAATTCACTCCATCAGATATCCAAAATCAGTATTGTACTTGACAGAATATCTGCAAGACACACTGGAGTTATTTGGATTTGGATATGCGGCAGACCATTGTCTGGAGACTGAGTTGAGCTCATCCAGTTAAGAAAAATACAGATACTATTTGTGGGCAATGATAAGACCGAGTCTCCATGAGGATACTGGAATTTTGAAAAACTTATATACACCCTTGGGAGCTTGACACCTTCACAATGTTTATGTCCTTTTCTGTTATATTAGTGGGTGCTACTGATGCATATATTTTTAAAAACTGAATAATGAAATATCTCAATATTTGGAAAATCTGTCTAACTCAACAAAGCAATATTTTTCCAATGACTTATGCTTATGAAACAAAGCCCAAGTAAGATAGCTATTAAAAATATAAAGAAAAAAACCCTAATTTTTTTGTTTGTTTGGTGGTTTTGTTAATTGAACAAGGGTCTTCTCACAGAGCTACACATCCAGACCTTTCCTTTTTTATATTGAGACAGGGTCTTTAAAACATTAAATTGCCTAGGCTGGGCTGGAATTCATAACCCTCTTGCCTCAGCCACTCAGAATGATGAGATTACAGTTGAGTGCCTCTACATCCAGCTAAGACTAGTAAATTTCAATGTAGGATGTGAAAAGTTTAGGGCTATGACTTCTGATTCTACATTGCAACTAAGTTCTGGTTGTTTCTTGTATCTTAATGTCAGTCTTTGTAGTTTCTTGCTGAACTATGTAAGTCTGTAATTACTACGTGCACAGTACAAATTATTACTTAATGTCTATGTCTGATAAATGAAATAAATGAGGTATTTGTGAATTCATTTGCACTAGCTTTTGTTATTCCATATCTGGGTAATTTATTGTTTCTTTTATATCTGCTTATCATTATATTTCAGTGGCTATACCTGACAATTATCAGAGGAAGTAATTCAAAGACTAAAATATTGATTTTTTTGTTTATGCCAGAAAGTTGGAGACATGAACAATATGAAATCACCTTAATCCAAATAGTTGGCTCAAGACTGTCCTTGGTAGGCCAGGCATAGTGGTGCGTGCCTGCCATGCCAGCACTTGGACGACTGAAGTAGGAGGAATGCTGTGAATTTGAGGCCAGCCTAAGCTACAAAGTGAGCTCAAGGCCAGCCTGAACTACATAGTGAAACCCTGTCTCAGAAAGAGAAAAAAGATTGTTCCTGATTACATATATGACCTGAAGCAAAGATGAATTCTATTTCATGGGCTTTTGACGCTGGTTCATCTTTATTTCTAAATAACAGGCCTTCAGGATCACAAAATTGCATTCAGTCTTTTTATTTTTATTTTTATTTATTTATTTTTGTTTTGCGGAGGCGGGGATTGAACTCAGGCCCTTGCACTTGCCAGGGAAGTGCTTATTCCACTGAGCCATTTCCCCGGCCCCGCATTCAGTTTTATTGATCCTTGCCACACTGGATTCCTGCTTTGGTCCACATTTGGTTGTAAGACTGTAAAATGAACTTACAATTAGTCAGTTGTATCTTTAGCTTCACCACTGCATCACTGGCAAAAGTAAACAAAATTTATGCTCATTTTCCTGGATTTTTCTCTCTTTTTGGATCTTGACTCAATAATCACTCATTTTTTCTCCAAATTCTCAATGCTTTTAGCTTTTTCTTTCATTTTTGTGGTTCTCTTTAGTCGAAAAACCATTCCAAATTACCTACTGTGTCATTCCTAGAAGCTGACACCCCTAGTACTTTCATTTCATTTATCTGTGATTTCCTCTGTAAAGCATCTTAAGAGATGGCTTCTTTTTAGATGAGCCCTTGGGAATTAAAGAATTAAAATCTGTGAACCCTTGAATTTATAAATCAAATTGTGTGTATGGATCCATTTATTTTTAGGAGAAATTTCATATTTTCTTATCCAAAGGTGTCTGTGCCCTATACTAACCTAATAATTCAAACTAGAACAATCGTAAAACTTGAGAAATTTATTGGCGCAATAAACTCACTGACAAATCTTTAGAAAAAAGATGTGAGCATTGCGGAGAAGCTTGATATTGCAAACTTTACTTGAACCTTTCACAAAAACCTAAGTTTGAGGAGAAATTACTTAATGTGGCATAATGTAAGTGCAACTAGAAGAGGTTAAAAACAAGATTGCAAAAGTCTGAGATTCCAGTTAGTTAAATTTCTTGGCCTTAATGCAAACATGGTTAAAAACTTATGATTGTCTGAAATATAATCAATAATATGATGTTTATTTCTCTATAATTTCCCCAATCCTTAAAGAAGTGAATAGCCTCTCTCTCTCTCTCTCTCTCTCTCTCTCTCTCTCTCTCTCTCTGTCTCTCTCTCTGTCTGTCTCTCTTTTGGCTAGAATTAAAAAAGAAACTAACATATTTTGGTTTAATACAATTAAACATAGATTTCATGAAGACTCAGGTTGCATTATTAATTTTTGCATTGAAGATATGGAATTAATTTAAATTTAGACTTTAATATAATCTGTGTAATCTTCAAAGATTTTAAGTATCTCAAAGGTTTTAATCTGTGTTGCAGAATTCACTGGCATAGTAATGCCAAAAATAGTTTATCAGCATAAATGGAAACTAATCTATATATTCATATCTATTCCATTCTGTTCATTATTGTTAACCTAAATACCAGGTAAATAGGTTAAGAATAATTACTAAATGCAACACTCCCGACCAAACGCAAACGTTACCAGTCGACGTCTGTACGTTGTTCACAGTACATAATCCGAAGGTATTGAGCATAGCCGCTGCAATTCTTATGGCCCCGAGTTGTATTTACCTAGAGAAATTGCCCAAACGATAGCAATCTTCATGATGGCCTTAGTCCGCGAATTGAAACGGCTATGCTCAATAGGATTACGTATTGCTACATACCGATCCAGCGATATGGCGCAGAGATGCATGATGGACGCAGTTGAAAACAGAACATCTAAAGCAATCCAGACGGGGCACAAATATCTAGGTAATGGCCAGACATAATCTGAAAGAGAACAAAGTAAGACAGAGAAGCATGTTATCCAAATCATACTGACTATACTTTTGTATTTCATCCTGCTTATCTTTCCTTTTCAGTTGTAACTTTTTTTTTTTTTTTTTTGAACCAGGGATTGAACTCAGGATCTTGTGCTTGCCAAGCAAGCACTTATTCTGCTGAGGCATCTCTCCAGCCCTTTCAATTGAAACTTCTTAAAGAAAGTGAGATTTCACTAGTATTATTTTCTTTTTTCTTTCTTTTGTGGCTGGCTCAGCCCACCCCGGGGGCAGGGATGGAGTGGTATGCGGTACCAGGGATCGAAACGAGGTCCCTGCGTGCTTGCCTAAGCAGGCACTTTAGACTGCCGAGCTATCTCGCCGACCCCAGCTGGCATCATTTTCTATGATGATAACTTCAGTGTTACATAAATTTGTCATGTTACATAAATTTGTATTGCGGTAAACTTTACATAACATAAAATTAATCACTTTAAAGTGTAGAATCCAAGGATGTTCAGTACATTCACAATATTGTACCACCACTACCTCTCTCTAGTTCGGAAACATTTCGTCTCTCTAGTGGTCATTAAGCAGTTACCCCACAGCCTCAAACATGTTTGCCTAGTCCTGAGCAATCTCCAATCTGCTTTCTGTTGTTATGGATTTGTCTAATTTGAGAATTTTATGTAATTGTTAATTTATCCTTTTCTGTTTGATTTTTTTTAATGTAAAAAGATTTTGAGTTTTGTCTGTTTTGTAGTATTTATTTGTACTTAATATTCTTTGTGTGAAAAAAATTCTTTGTGTGGTTATATGACCAGTTGAGATTTGGGGACACATTTGTAATGGATTATTTATTGCTGGGTATTGAATTATAGTTGATTTTCATGTATTTATCAATCTTGAAATTTTGCTGATTTCATTTATTGCATTGTGCATTGTGTGTGTGTGTGTGTGTGTGAGAGAGAGAGAGAGACAGAGAGAGAGCAAGAGAGAGAGAGAAAGAAGAGAAGAGAAGAGAAGAGAAGAGAGACAGAGACAGGCAGAGACAAGGACAGAGGGATAGTTGTTTTATTCTTTGGTATTTTCCACTTATAAGATCATGTCACCTGGGAATAAAGATAAATTTAATTCTTCTCAAGTATAATGTTCAATAAAAGTAATAAAAGTGGACATCTTTTTTTCCCTCTTGATTTTAGAGGAAAATTCTCAGGTTTTAACTGTTGGGTGTGGTATTAGCTGTGGGATTTTCACAACTGCCTTGTATTATATTGAGGAAGTTCCCTTTTAATTTCTAGAGATTGCATTTGACCCAACTATCCCCCTTCTATGTTTCTTCCCAAAACAATTAAAATAATATTTCAAGGATACATGCATATCGATGTGTACAGTAGCACAATTTATTATAGCTAGATCTTGGAAATGGAGTGTATGTCCATCAATAGATCAGTGGATAAGGAAAATATGGTATTTGTACACTATGAAGTGCCATAAACTTGAGGCATTCATACATAAAAGGATGCAAATGAAAAGCATAAGTAAAATAAGACATACAAGCTCAAATATTACATGGCTTCTAAAAATCCAAAATGTACTATTAAATATAAAAAGAAATTATATAACAATGCATGTAATATGATAGCACTTGTCTCTGGTTTTCGGAAGGCAATATACTAGTAAGTCTTTTAACAAGCAAAGAAAGCTCTATAATAATACAAAGAAACCATGGTGGATAGCTCAGTGGATTAAAGCTCCTGCAAGCAGGCTCAGGGGCCGGGGGTTCGATCCCCAGGCCTGCCGTACCGAGACAGCAATTGAGACTGGGCATGGTAGCACGTGCCTGTAATCCCAGCTCTTGGGAGGCTATAAGCAGGCAGATCACTACGAGTCTGATCTAGTAGTGAGACCCTGAACACCTGTAGACCCTTCCCTAAAATACAAAAAAAAAAAAAAAAAAAAAAAAAAAAAAAGAAAAAAAAAGAAACCATGGTTGATAAGGAAGGAATAAAATGGGTGATAAAGGCAACAGAAACTATCTTTTTACTTTCTCCTCTTCTGTACCATCAAGGTTTTGTTTTTGAATTTTTATAAAAATAAGCATATATTACTTTATCATAGAAAGGATTAAAATCAGCTACAGAAGTCTTTTCACTACACTGTAAAACCGAGTGAAATATTTTAATGTTACTTTCAGAGAAGTAGTCAATACATCAGTGTTGGGAAAAATATATCTATTTCATTATGAAGCATATCTGTTACAGCCAAAATCTAAAATATTACCACCATTTACAGCCTCGAGGAAACTATTTCTCAACTCCCCAGTGTTATCATAGAATCCTGTAGCACTCTTCTTTTGGGAAAGGGAAGTTTAAACCACTATTTCTCCAAATACCATGTGTCCCAAGGCAGTCACTCAGCCTAGTGTCTTGTCTGGGGAGAAGGCTGTCGGAGCTCTGGCTGGAAATGGACTGCTGCCGGCCATGTTCTTACTCAGCAAAGGTCTTGGATGACAATTGTGAAGGTGAATCTTTCCATATAAAAGTGGATTAAAACATTAAAAAAAAGTTACAGACACCTGCCTGTCCCATAAAAGATTTTCCATTCCATGTAAAAATTATTATTTTCTCTTGTGGTTTAGGTTTCTTTAATAACTGTAATGCAAGTTGTCTATTCAGAAATCCTGCCACTTGGAAATACAAATAATCTAAGTGGCAAAAAAAAAAAAA